AAGCAAAGTACAAAATAAGCACAAATCTGAGCTTAAACCACCTTCTAGAGCTCAAAGGAGGCTCCAAGTAATCTCAGCCCAAAGGTGAGAGTGTTTGATTAAGGGTTGGTACGCAAAAGCTAAGAGAAACTAGGCAAAGGTGTACAAAATATCAAGAGAGAGAGAATTATAGAGAGAGATAGATATTTTTTGTTCTAAAAATGCTCAACCTCAAAAATAGGAGAGGACACCCCCTATATATAGAAAAACAAGTCTTGAGCTTGTGAACATCTTACTATATACGTGTATGAAGATGCAACTTAGTGAGCAACAGCTGGCACAGCTGTCAACAAATAGTTGGAAAAAGAGATGAATGGTCGTTGGCCACTAGTAACTGACAAGAACAAGCCCTGGCTAACAGCTTAGGGGGTTGGCTGGCAGGTCACCCACTCTTCCAGACTAGAGGCAACAAGCTCTTGGTCCAAAAACATGTACAAAACAAATACAGTTTCAAGGCTCAAAGTCAGGACGTTCTGCAGAGAACTTTGGGCGCTCAAAACGAACACAAACAAGGACAATCATTGAGTGCACAAACGATGACGTCCAAATCTTGAGGACGGTCAAAAATGGGGTGTCTACACATATCACCCTCAAACTTTTGTCCAACACTCGTAATATTATTTCGCCAACCAGTTGACAATAACACATTTTCTTGGTGAGAATAAAACTTAAAGAGTGAATTCCTTTCAATATCCACGAGCCTATCACATTCACCATGCACAACATCTACCTAATTAGACCCTACTTCATCCTCTTGATCAGAAGTACTATACCTAATAACTGAAACTTCAACTATATCAACACCACATGCACAAACAACCCTCAACATATTCAGAAAATCAATATTATTTCAAACCATACAATTCAGATGGCCTACAATAGAATATGAAATACACATCGTCTCAGGTTTCAAATTCTCCCATGTTTTACACAAAATGCCAACCAATTCCTCAAAATTCAATTCGCATGATACATTAATAACGATAGTATCATTCTCATATTTGCACAACAACAACACTGCACTGTCCATCGAAACTGAAAGAAAAAATAAGAAAAATAATTTATTCAATATAAAAACACTTCACAAGAACAACATAAAAGTCCAGAGAAATTTCTAATAATTATAATTTTCTCTGGATTATAATAACAAACTTATAATTTACTCTGGACTCAAATAAAAGTCCAGAGACATTTACAAACTTTTATTCACCTTCAAGATAGCAAAAACAAAATCACAGAAAACTTAATGAATCCAGAGAGAATCATAGAGAAATTTACTGCTAACTATTAAACACAATCATATACAAAAATACAAAGAAGATCTGTTATGAAATTATAAGTTTCTCTTTGATTTTCACTCAACTACAAGCTTACAATTTTCTCTGTGTGATTGTGCAATATTGTACTCATATCAAAATCCAGAGAAATTTACAAACTTATATACATCTTCAAGATAACAAAAAACACTGCACTGTCCATCTAAACTGAAAGAAAAAACACAAAGTAACTTTTGCTCAGAGAAACAAAAACCTATATCCATTTTGAACTACAAATTTATAATTTTCTCAGAACTACAAATAAAATTCCAAAAAAATTTAAGAACTTATATTCACTTTAAAGATCACAAAAACAAAAATACATTAACATCAAATTGACAAAAATGCTAACTATTCCACACAAATGCAGAGAAACTCATAGAGAAGATCTGTTATGCTCACAAAACATTCAATTGAGACAAAATAAATAAATAAATAAATAACAAACTTATAATAACATGTCCATAACAAATTACAATTTTTTCTATGATTTTCATTGGACTACAAGCTTACAATTTTCTCTGTGATTTTCACTAGACTACAAACTTACAATTTTCTCTGTGATTTTCACTGGACTACAAACTTACAATTTTCTCTGTGATTCTATCTGCATTAGAAACTTATAATAATATGTTCATATGAACTTATAATTTTCTCTATGATTTTCGTTGGATTATAATAACAAACTTACAATTTTCTATGGACTATACCAATAAAAGTGCAGAAAAAACAAAGAACAAAAAATAATAAGAAATTTATACTTATCTCTGGTTTAAAGAAATTTCTCTGGTTTGAAAAAATAGAGAACAAAACCTATCATTGATAAGAATGTTGATGAAAAACAGAGCACGAAAAATAAACTGTAAAAATCAAAATCAACTCCACTGTCAACTCTCTTTGAAATTGATCAAAAAACAGAGAATGAAAAATGAACTCCAAAAATCAAAATTAACTCTATCAAGCTGGCCTCTCTCTAAAATTGATCAATAACAGAGAATGAAAAATCAACTCCAAAAATCATAAACAATTTCACTAAACTAGCCTCTCTTTTAAATTGATCAAAACTGAAAACAAAAACCTCATACAAAAATACACTCGAAAAAACTAATATGAAATCGGAATCCTTACATAAAATTCAAAACAAAAATCGAAATCCATGTGGAATCTCCATCAAAAACATACCTGATTCAACTCCACTGAAAAACCTACACAATCAACACCATTGTAACACCTACACAATCATAGCAGTCTCCATCGTCAAGTCCACTGCAACACTTGCAAAACCCCTACGAAATCTCCACTGTGAAGTCCATCCCTATGAAATCTTCTACAAAACAACAATAGAATATTCAGTTTGCCAAAATCTAAACAAACTTATGTTATAAATAAGGGTAAATTAGGTATTTTATAACGTAAAATAAGGTTGAGGGACATTGGGCATCAAAAAATATTATTGTGGACTTCTCCTCCTATCAAAAGTTCGGCAGGGATCTTAGACCAATTTTTTCAAAATAAAAAAATCAATTTTCAAAAAAATAAAACTAAACACACTAATTGCTTTTATGATTGGTTTCTCTTCGGTCTTAATTTGGACTGGAGAGGACTGTCCAGGTTTGTGGAGTCCACTACGATGTGAAGTCCATCCCTATGAAATCTTCTACAAAACAACAATAGAATATTCAGTTTGCCAAAATCTAAACAAACTTATGTTATAAATAAGGGTAAATTAGGTATTTTATAACGTAAAATAAGGTTGAGGGACATTGGGCATCAAAAAATATTATTGTGGACTTCTCCTCCTATCAAAAGTTCGGCAGGGATCTTAGACCAATTTTTTCAAAACAAAAAACTCAATTTTCAAAAAAATAAAACTAAACACACTAATTGCTTTTATGATTGGTTTCTCTTCGGTCTTAATTTGGACTGGAGAGGACTATCTAGGTTTGTGGAGTCCACTACGAGTCTTATTTCGATAATTTAAACCGTTTAATTGGATCCTGCGTGTATATTATTCATAAAAAAAAAAATTAAGGTCGATCCGATATTCGTAACTCCTTCATTTTATAAAATTTGTATCTAGAAGAATTAAAGGTCATTGTGTTTTAAAAATAGATCATTTATTTTTTATTACAAGTTTAATAAAATAAAAGACTTCAAATATCAAATATTTTCTTTTATAAATAATATATACATAAAATTTAATAAAATAATTCGCAAATTATGAAAAACAGAACCTCTAAGACCATCTCCAATGGTTCACCAAATTTGAATTTGGTGAAAAATGACAGTTTTTTTGTCTCCAACAGTTTCATCAAAACCATATCAAATTGAGAATGACCCAAATTTTTTACCAAACTAAGGATGTTGTGGGTCTTTCAGCAAAACACTGTTCATTACCATTATATTTTCACTACCGGATGTCCTTTCAGATGACCACCTTTTGCAAAATTTTGTATAGATTTTACACTGGGAGGTTGACCTCCAGGGTCGACCCCCCGAATGACCACTCAAGCTTGAAAATGGAATCTTGTTCAACTACAGAATTGACACAATAAGATGGGCGAACCTTTGTTTTCTCAGTTGATTGTTGTGCATCTTCAAGTGTTGACGAAGCCAATTTTTCAGTTAACAATTCCGCACTTAGTGGTTATGCTTGGACCTCATTACGAGCTTTGCCATTAAAATTCATTAAATGCGCTTGACTGCTCTCAGGTACTTCAATTTTTGAAGATGACACACTTGTGTCTATAGAATCTTGTTCAACTACTTTTCTTGGCAACATGTTTGGTTCAACGAGATCCTCGAATTTCTTGTTGTTTATTGAAAATCCGACTTCTACAAGATCTTGTTGACTTAACTCATGTACTCCTCCCGATCTAGACTCATTTTCGTCCACTTTGGATAGCTGAGATGAGGCAACCCACATTTCCTCACTGTCACAAGTGGTCTGCTTGTCCAAATCCACATCCCATCAGACATCAAATGTTCTCCATCCGAAGGTGAGATGGTTTCATCAACTGTCAATGTAGGTGAACTAATGTCTAACACCTCCACTTGCAAGTCAGAGGCTATGGAATGTGTACGATTGTGATCATACCCATTATCTGCACAAAAAAAGAGTCTCTCCCGCCCTTTCTTCTCAAATGAAGATGGAATGCCGTCATATAAAAGCTCATTTCTTAGAGCATTATTCTCTCTATCTATGTTCTTCTGAATTGAAAAACTGAGGGATTTTAAGATTTGTTCTTTGTTAGCATCGGATTTTAAGATTTGTTGTTTGTTCTTCCCACAATAACTACATTTGACATTGCAAAAAAAAAATTCTTTTTTCGGTCGTCCCCTAGACGTTCAATGCGTTTTGAAGAAAGTTACAGTGTATACCATTGGAGTGGTTAATATCAAATTAAGCAAAACAATTTTTTTTACTCAAATTTTGGCCTTATTTGGCATATATTAAAAAAGTCAAAAAATTACTATACTATTTAAGTCACATTATTGTATTTAAATCACATCACCTCTCTATCACATCATTTCAAATTTAATTCATATTCAATTTATATTTTATAAAAAATTAAAAAATACACTTATTTAAAATATTTCAAATCACCTCTTAATAAAAATTATAATCAACCATTTGAAATACTCAAACGAACTCATAGGCCGAACAGTCTCTCCCAATTCAGATGAGACGGGAGAGAAGCCTTCAAAAGCAATTTCGTACATCGAGTAGCCGAAACCTGCAGACTTCCGACTGTTCCAGAAATTAATTTCTCTCTCTAAAAACCAAACACAGGCATACAGTGATATACGTACATACATACAATACATACACTCTCTCTCTCCCCATGAAATTTCAACATTCCAATGGAAAATGTTATGGAGAATCAACCGCAAAACCCTCCTCTTTGTTCTTCCTCTCCAGGTATTATTCTCTATTTTATATTCTAAATCTCTCATTATTTTATTCTGTATATATTTGTTTTATATATATATATATATATATTCTATCACCTACTGTGTATATATTTAGATGTATGTATCTCTTCTTCTTTTTATAATGCAGAGAGCTAAAAAGCCTAGCAACAGTCTCTGATTGATTTTTCACTTTCCTCTCTATGTTTTTTGTGTGTTTGTTTACAGTTACGAACTCCGAAAATCTCGGGAAAATTGAGGCGGAATTGGAAACAAAATGTTTTCCAAATATGGAAATCGATACAACAAAAACCCTAGCTCAGATTGATGCCCATTTCTCTTCCGAACCAGCTCTCTCTGGGTCCGAACTAGGGTTTGCTGTTCGAGATCATGAAAATGGGGTTAGGGTTTCTAGTGAGGGTTTGAACGGTGACGACGTCTGTGATGTTGAAGTTTCAAACAAAACTCTGATTGTTGAGGTTGAGAAAGATTTCGGAGAACATGAGAGACAAGATGGTGAGAAGGGTTTGGGTAATGGTGGTTCAAGTGAGTTGATTGGGGATGGTTCTGATAAGAATGAGGAATTTGATCGGAATGGGTCATTGGAAAGTGCAAATGAGAGTGGGAAAGATTGTGGGGATGATGATGATGATAAAGGTTTTATGGCTGAAAATGGGGGAGACCCAGATGAGAAGTTTGTGGAAATTCTGAGTTTGGCGTCGAAGATGGGTGAAAATGGGGACGTAACAGGGGAGGGAGAGAGAAAACAAGAATTGAAAGATAATGGAAAAGAGAACGAGGAGGATGGAGAAAACGATGAGGGTGATCAAGAACATGAGTTTTTAGTTGGTGACTTTGTGTGGGGGGAAATTAGGAATTTCCCTTGGTGGCCTGGACGAGTTTATGATCCTTCAGATGCGTCGGAGTTTGCAAGAAAGAAGTATAAACAGAGTGAACAATTGCTTGTTGCTTACTTTGGAGATGGTTCTTTCTCCTGGTGCTCCCCATCTCAATTGAAACCTTTTGCAGATGATTTTGAAGACATGTCAAAGCAAAGTGATTTTAAGAGCTTTGTGAATGCTGTAGAGAAAGCTCTGGAAGAGATTGGTAGGCTTGTGGAATTGAAAATGACTTGCTCTTGCATACCCGAGGAAAATCGGGTTGGGCTTGCTAGAGCTAGACCATCAGCAATGAATGCTGGAATCAAGAAAGGAGCCCTTGTGCCCGAGTGCAATCTAAGAAGACTCTCAATTCCTCAACATGGGCCAGAATTAATTGCAACTCTCAGGAATATTGCAGAGGTAGTTTCTATTGCCAATATTCTTGAGCTCACAGTGTTGAAGAGTTTTCTGTCAGCATTTTATCGAGCAAAAGGAGGTCACAAACTGCCTATGTACCATGAACCCCAGTGTGTCGAAGGACTAGAAGACAAGAATAGGAATGGGGTAACTGATTTTAGTGGTCCGGTGGAAGTTCCAGTCCAAGGTCCATCTGAAGAAGACTGGCTTTGTTCACCGGAATCCCATCGATTTGGCCAAACCAATCAATCATTGTTGCAGAAGGGCCCGGAAATATCCGAGGATATGCTTTACCACAAAAGGAAGAAGAAAAGCGTGGCTGACCTTATGAAAGAAGACATGGTTGTTGAGCCCAGCAATAAGAAGGGGAGTAGGGTTAAAGATGTAGCAAACCCATCAGGGAGGAAGAGAGGAAGGAAAAGGAAGGCTGAGAGTGAAGAAGAAACTAAGGACAAAATGTTTAGCAGTGAGAACGACGATGATGATGATGATAGCAATGCCAAAGAAGAAACCGAGAATGTGTCTGCATCAAGGGAAAGGAAGAAGAGCAGATACTTATCCCCTCCGTACACTAGTCTAAAATGGAGGGTAAGAAACTCAAGCTCTAAGAGGGATTCAGAAGCAGAATCTATGGAATTTGATACCACAGATGACTCATCTGAAGATCAGAAGAAGATTGACTCTGTGGAAATCAGTGCATCTGCAAAGGAAGTAGTATCTGGTGTACGGTCTGCAGCCCTTAATCCTCTAGAATTGAGCAAGAAAATTTCTGTTGATGAGATCGGTGGATTCATTTCTTTATTCAGAAGTGCAATCTATGTAAATGGCTCCAACTACAAAATGTACCACAAACAACGATCAGGTAGAAAGAGGAAGTGTTCGGGCTCCACACTTAAGTTGCTGGAACCAGACCTAAACTCGACTGACCATGAGTTGCTTGAATCTAAATCTCAGCAGAGAACAAATGAGAAGAATGAAAAAGCAAAATCGGCTAAAAAAATGGCGAAGCTTAAGCAAGCCGGTGAGGTTTCTGGCTTGAAGACGAAGAAGAACAACACGGGTGAAGAAGCAGCTTCTACACCTGTAAGCCTCATTGTGACTTTCCCACCCGGGATCTCTTTGCCATCAAAGAATGACCTCATCAAAAAATTTAGGAAGTTCGGGCCTCTGAATGAGATGGAAACAGATGTATTGTATAATTCATTCTGCGCTAGGGTTGTCTTCGTGAAGAGTTCTGATGCAGAAGAAGCCTTCAAGACGTCTAAAAAGAAGAACCCCTTGGGACAACCCAATGTTAATTACCAGCTCCGATATTCCTCAGCTGCTTCAAGGGTTCCTTCCAAGGAGGGAGGCAGAACCTGCTTGAATCGAGCTGATTCACAGCCTTGCGCTGTTGATGAGGCATCCCGACTTCTCTTCATAAAGAAGAAGCTTGAGAAAATGACATCAATGCTGGAAAAGTCTGATGGAGATATGTCGGCTGAAATGAAGGCCAAGTTAGAGGGTGAGATGAAAGGGCTGTTGCAGACGGTAAGCACAATGGCGGAGTCTACCTCATCTTGAAGTGATGGAAGATATATAAGAGCTGCTCGGTGCCACTTCTTGTTGTTGTAGTGTTTGTTGTCGGACTCTTTTGCTTAGGAAATAGATGTCCATGTTGCTTTCTGATTAAGATGTCTGTATGGATGTAGGAGTAAGTTTAATTTCTGCCATAGGATATGAATTTGATATAGGTTGGTTGCATCTATTTACTTCCTGTAGCATATTGCTTTACTTTCCCTTTACAGTGACTGTTTTAGACTCTCTCTCTCACAATGGTGGGTGGGTGGTAGTTATCTTTATTTCTCAACCTCTCCTTTGGAAAATTTTCTGACAAATATTTTCTGGCCAAATTTCACATTTGCTTTATCTGAATCTTTCTGGAGTATTAAGAGTGATGGGCAAATTTTACATTACCTTTATGCTCTGTTTAGCTCACTAAAATGCGATAGGTTGGGGTGATTATTCATTAAGATTCCCTATGAAATGATCATTCTCTCACAATGATTAATATAATTCTATTTGTATTATATTTTTTCATTATTTTTTTAGTCAACAAAACATGGAAATAGACATTTTTATAGAATGATTATTTCATTCTATGACATTCTAATAAACCAAACACTATCTTAATGTCAATATTTGTGAAGTATTAGAAGTCCTTCAGCGAACAAGTTGTAGTTACCTTTCAAATTTTGTTTTTAAAATCTAATTTCCTCTTCTGGTTTTTAGCTATTTTTCTTGGCATAGCTCCTTGAAGTTGAATCTTTATCTGAAATCAAAATGTATGTGCATGAGCAACCATGAATTCATGGACTGCAGATGGAGTTGGTCTGTATTCACGAGGGGTGACAACTTTAAGAGTGAAACAATCCTTCACTTTCTCCCAGCTGCACCTTGAGCTTCAACTTGTTTCTGTCAAAATGTAGCTCTTTCGTGGGAAGATCGAAAGCATGCCTTTCCTTTTCTCGGAAAAATGTCTTTATCTTTTCAAAATGCCTTTTCTTTTCAAATACCTTCTTGCTCGGATAAATATGGCTTCATAAATGACCAATGGAAGAGATACACTGCCGTAACAAAGCCTACTGGATTTGTGGAGCCAAACCCAACCAAATAAAAATAAAGGGTTTCCAGGAAAGCTATACAACTCAAGCAATATATATAAAGCACATTGGCAGAACAAGCACTACTCATGATGTTGGGAAGAGATTGAAACACTCCTTGTGGACTTGGTCTGTATTGTCAATGGCTTAGTCTGGGAAGTTATTTTAATAGGTTATTCTATTTTTTAGTCATTTGAGTAGTTAAAATTCGTATTAGCCAAACCCAACCAAATAAAAATAACGACAATGCTACGTAGCTCAAATTTTATGGTTCAAAAGTGACTCAAATGGCCAAAACGACGTCGTTTTGAGTACAGAACAACATAAAAATGACCAAAACGACGTTGTTTTGACCATTTGAGCCACTTTTGAGCCACAAAATTTGAGTTACGAGACATTTTCCTAAAAATAAAGGGTTTCCAGGAAAGCTATACAACTCGAGCAATGTATACAAAGCACATTGGCAGAACAAGCACTAAAGATTGACAGTATGAGCGTAACAACGCACAGCTTCATTGACCAAGACAACACAAAACAGAAGCATGTACACATCACTATATTAAATCCACATTGTCAAAATGACAGGAAACCGATCAATGTACCTACAACCAATTTTAACACAATTGTCAGTTCAGATAGAAACAAAGGGACTAAGGGATCCAAATTGGCTGCGTTCTCCATTTTTCAGGTAAATCTAACTCCAAACAGACCTCTAAAATGCAGTGGATGAAATGGCGGAAGCCAAGTTTACTTGTACATTTTTGAGAAGGGAAGTAGGGCAGACCAGCCAGGGAAAAATTTCAACACACTTCCATCAACAATTATAAATTCCACCAGAAAGTTTTAAGTCTATTGACACAGTGAAATATAATAGAGCACATCCCAGTACAAAATCAGTCATCAACTGGGTCCTGAGGAGCCTCATCAGCCTTGCGTTTGATTGTGATCACGGGGCACTCGGCATGCTTAGCGCAAAATTCACTCACTGTACCAACAAAAACCCTGCAAATCAGATTCAGAAGTGTAGTGTCTTAGTATTTTGAACTTTGAGCATTACCATACAATAATCTACTTTCCGAAGGTTTCTGAAAATAAACATCTCCAAGCACAAGTGAGAGAGAGAGTTCATTGAGTCTGCCTTCCTCATGTAGTAATGCACAAAGAAGGTAAAATATTAGGTTTGGGGCAAAATCAGGAGCTCTACGAAATGACTAGAAAACTTGACATACTTCTGAAAAGGGCCAAGACCCCTGCTTCCAACAACCAGAAAATCTGGTTTGACTCGGTTGACCTCATGGTAGATTACTTCCTTGGGATCACCTTTCTTGATCCATGCTTCACAAGGAACCTACAAGTTTCCAGAGTAAGGACTGAGAACTCAATGCCCAATATGACATTGTAAACAAAGTAACCCATGTGGGTCTAAGAAAACCAAATATTTTTTAATTTATTTATTTTGCATGCACTTGTGTGAGCACGAGTGGCTGACAGAAAGAGGGAGGGAAAGGGATGTGCTGGCCATCAAAAAGAAATTTCACATTACCCCAAGCTCATGACACCTGTTGACAAAGTACTCCAGCAGATGAAGCCCTCTTATCCTGTCCCTCTGCTTCATGCTCTTAAAATCATCAGGTGACGCATATATACTATCCATGTCATCAAGACCTAGCCAAAACACATTGACAAAAAAAATTCAGCTAGTAATTCTCTTCTAATTTAAGGCAGACTAAAGCAGGCAAAACTAAGATTAACAAAGTAAGTGGTCAGTCATTATGTTACGCAGAGGATTGGAACTGATGATAGTCCTACTTTTCATTTGCATTGATAAATCAAGTCATGAAATTTGTTTAACAACATAGTCTTACTTCTGATGTCTCAAAATGAATCATCAACACCCTTAGGATAGATAAAGTGACATCTTTGTTAAAATACCGATTATGCTATTTACATCCAACCTAGTAATTATTTAAATGTAGTACAAAAATGGAAAGTAGAAGAGTGAAATTTGTAAAATACTACTACACTTTCCCATCCCCCCCCCCCAATCCCTAATTATTTTTAAATTTAGTTAAAAAATAGGGAGTAAAAGGGTGAAATTTGTAAACTACTGCTAAACTTTCTCAATTTTTTTTCTTGTATACTTGTGAACCTTTTTACATTGTCCTTGCAATAGCCATTATGAAAAAGCCATTGATTTCGATATGGAAATGTAGCAAAATATATTTGAGAACACAATTATTTTACAAAAGCAAAATACATGAACATAGTTTGGATTTTTCTTTCAAATTCACCTTCAAACATTGAAAAAAACAGAAGTACGCAAAGTGGTTTTTGACTTCATGCATTCAAGCTATTAATATTGCTATCTTTTGATAAGTAAGATGCCAAACTCCATTAACAATATTCTAATTGATCAACATTACGAGAACTTGAGCAGATAATTAGCAAACAAACATAGAATGATAGAACACAAGGACATGATTATAATAATGTTGAAGTTTCGAATTTTCTTCATGCTGGATAGTATTGTGTGATAATATTTTATTTTATAAGATCTGTGTGACATACAAAAACATTTCAGAATTTCCTCAAGATAAAGACAATTGTCCGATGTTTGTTAAATGCATTACACATGGCCATAAAAACAACCTATTGATTTTCAACAAATATGTTACACGTAGTTTATACATGCATGTAGTAGAAGTTCCAATTAATATTACTGAATGGGTAAAGTGCAACCACACACCGGTATTTATCCAAACTGTTATAACAAATATACCGAAAATAAAAAATTGTTTCGAAGGCCTGTATGCCCCAAAATTCACCCCAATCATCTATTGCCCAAACACCTTTGAAAAGTATAATAGAACATAGTAGTCTCACACACACACACATGCAATTCCACAAAAATGACTGTTGCCTAGTGATACAAACTACAAATATAACAGATAAAGTAGTACAGCTCATGCTTCACAAAAACATAAAACAGTACAAATAAATTAAGTACTCCTTCACCAGGTCCAGATATATGTAGGAAAATTCTCAAATCCCGATCATCTTTTTTCAATAGGAGCTTTACATTAGTTAGATATATATATATATATATATATAGCTATCAAATTAAAATCACTCAAAGCGAAATTAGTACAATTCTGCATATATTTGTTCTTGCAAAAGGATAACGCCGATCGTAGGTTGAGTATCAAATTACGATTCTAATCGAAAGCTAAACCATCAATTCACAGTTGGCTAACAGATTATAAAATGTTTTGTTTGTGCAGTACACAACACAATCGCATTCGTTCATTCAAAATAGAATCATGAACATAAATCAGACAGAAAATAGAGTTAACAAGCCCTAATTCAAACAATTCAAGAGAGAGAGAGAGAGAAGAGAACCATCTTCGTCGGGAACTTGGACATGAAGGAAAAGGAGCCTGAAGCCAGAGGTGTTGGAGCGAACGATCTTGTTGAGAGTCCAATCGAAAGCTCCTTTGCTGCTAATGGAAGCATGAGGATAGCCCTTGATGGTTGACTCGTTCACTCCCACCATTATCCGAGTCGGCTCCGATTCCACTCCACCTTCCATTGCTGTGTCACTCACCGAGTCACTCTCTCTCTCTCTCTCTTAATACTAGGTCGGTTTTGCATACGTGGGCGCGTCGTTTTCCCCACCGACACGGTGCACGGTTCCGTCAATTCTCATTGTAATTAGAATAACACTATTCTTCGAACAATGCTATATGCACTAACAATATGTGCACTAACAATACTATGCACTAATTAGGGTATTAATTAGTATAATAATTGATGATATAATATAATTTAATTAGTATATTAATTAGTATAATAATTGATGATGTAATATAATTTAAATTTTTTTTAATATTTATAATTTATATAATAAGTGGAATCAATAATAATATTATAATTAGTATTGGTACACTAATTAATACACTAATTGATACTAGTACCACCGTTGTAATTAGGACAGTGCAAAATATCAAAAATGCTAAACATCCTAAAAATTCTATCAAAAATTTTATTAAGGGGTAATGTTAGAGATACTAAATCTTTTAATAAATAAATGGCCAAATGTCTCACATGGGTGTGAGTTCTACAAAAGTGTCATTTATTTAGTAAAAAATTTGGGTCTATAGGATTTTCCTTTTATTAAATGTCTCACATAAATGTGGGACTCACATGGGACTGACATTGTGTAGGTCACACACGTATGTAAGACATTTGACAGAACTTTTGGTAGAATTTTTAGGATCTCTAGCATTACTCGCAAAATATAGTTCAATCTGTTAAAATTGCACCAATTCGTATTAATTCGCATCGCTTTATCTAATAACCGTGGTTTAAATTTTAAAATTTATAATCCGTCTTCCAAACTGTTCTGTTCCTCTATAATTAATACATATATATTTTTTAACTTATAATGAAATATTAAAGTAAAAATAAGTGTGAACACAGTTTAATATGTGAAATTTATTATAAATTAATAATTTTATATATGAAAAATATTATATAAAATTAGTTTGGGTTATATATATGAAAAATATTATGTAAATTAATGTTATATATTATGTAAAAACTTAAAAATTGGTTAAAATATTTTTTAATCCGTCAATCTATCTAAAACTGCTCAAACCATAATTAATCAATCCGCTAATATGTTAATTCACTATTCAATTTATAATTTTACTCTCAAATTATCTAAATCACACTGCGCACCCTCCTAATTGTAATTGCTAAAAGGCACCTGATGATGATCACAGCTGCTGCGCACTTTAATTTTTAAAGATTTTAAATTACATTTCACCCCCAATTCCAACATTTATATGAATTACATTTATGTCTCTTTTATAATAAAGCAAATTGCAATTTTCACGTTTCAACTTTTGTTTCGATGTGCATATTTTAATTTTCACGCGAAAAAAGACAAGTATAAAAGAGGTTGTTTGAGATGTCTTAAATAAGTGTGTTTTTTGACTTTTTAAATTAAAAAATTGAGGAAAAAATGATGGTTATTTGAGATAATTTTTTGACTTTTTATGAAAAAAATATGTATGAAAAAATTGTATAAATTTGTGTATAGGAGAATATTGTGATGAAATAGTCTGTACGGTGAGGGGTAGCATGTGCAGAGTAGAGGAGAGATGGTTTCTTACTTTTTGAACAGTGAAAGTGCTGCTCGGCCAGTGGGGGCCTACCACGGATCCCATTTTACTAATCAAAACCGTTGAATGTGTAGAACTCGTCGAGTATTATATGCTTGTAAAACATCACGTTGATCGGATATCAATAGCTATCTGATCGGATTAGTTTTTTTCAACCATTAACTATAACACCATTCATTTTATAAATTTTAACTGATTTGGTCATATAGTTACCGATATTTGATCAACGTGATTTTTTACAGACATATAGTAATTTTTTCAAAAACTCAGCTGCGCCTATGAGACGTCAAGGCTGTTTGAAAATTAATTTTGTGTAAAATTAATTTTTTAATTTTTTTTTGGTGAATAGTAATAACTTTTTGAATAATTTTTTAACTTTTTGGCTTTTTTTAATTACCCCAAACCGACCTTAATTGTGTTGTTTTTAAAATTTAATTTAAATAGTAAAGTGATGGAAGGAACATTTTAAAATATACATTGAATTATAATGATTTAATTATCACAATTAAAAAAAAAAACTAAAACTAGGAGAAATTACAAAAAAAAATCTCAGGGTTTAGCTTCAATTTAAACCCCAACATTTTAATTTTAACAATTTATTTCTATTAACTTTTTACACTTATTTGATACATGTGTCACTTTTTGATTCGTCCATAATTATTATAATTATTTTATTTCTAAATTACTTTTTTTTTTTTTATCAGCTCTCGCTCTCTCACTCACTTATTTGATTCATCCTTATATTCTCTTTAAGTCTCTGCAAATCCATTTCTAATCTACACATACACACACATTGCATATATATATATATATATATATATACATAAGGCGGAACAGCACATGAAAATGAAGGAGATGGATTACGAAATCAAAAGGATATAAATTTGAATTTGAACAACATTGGAATGCACAGAATACTAATACAAAATATTAATAACTAAATATTTAATACAAAATGCATTAACTTACAATTACAGTAGCACAGGGTTGGTTTTCACTCAGAGCTCTTGGATTTTCAGAATATTGATTTCTAAAAATTTCCAAATCTGCCGAATGAGTTCAACTTGATTACAATTTATACAAAAATAAAGAAAAGAAAAGCAGCAATTGACTGATGAAAGCAGCTGGCAGCGCATGGAGTAAAGCAGATGCTGTCGGTTGCTTTCGGTTGATTGATTGAATAGTTGAGCAGCTTTAAACAAAAGTTGACTGGGTGAAAATTGACGGTGAACAGTAAAAGTGAACAGTAACTTTTACTATTCATCACTTTCGGTGGAACACGTGAATAATGGAATCAATATAAATACAAATTGGCAGCTTTTCTCAAAAGAGTATTGATCGAAGCTAATTTGTATCTATATGGAATCCAATGTTGATTATGCAAACGGATCCTGAGCATCTTGAAACTCTGGCCCTGAACATTGATTAGTTGATTCTTCAGAGGAGTGAGCATGTTTTGAACCTTCTTCTGAACTCTCTGAATCGGTGGATTGGGTTTTTGCTTGATTCAAAAGTTGGTGAGCTAACTGGATCATATCTTCTTTGGATGACTTGGTTTTACTCTTGGACTTGGCTTTGGGCTGAGTAGGAGGTGAAATGGGCTTTGCCTTGACTTTGGACTTTGATTTGGGCTTGGATTGGGCTGGCTGGGTAGCAACAGCTTTGGACTTTGATTTGGATGATTTGGGCTTGGAGCCACTAGATAAGGGGCTTTCAAGGTTAACTAGAGGAAGACTGGGTTGACTTCCTTGAGTAATTGCAGCAGTTGGGTTCTGCTGGGCTTTAGCAAGAGCAGGAGTTGAAGCATGCTGATCAGGTGGGAATTCTTCTTGAACAATTTCAAGAATTCGGGGCACATTGAACTTTACCCACCATTTGACTGTGTGTTGGCGAATGATGATGTTATCATCAATCCCATATTGCCATTTAAATATCCATGGAATTTTGTATTTGGATATGAAGATTAGCAATAATGGAAATTGACGTTGATGAGCAATAAATGGATAAACAGAGGCAAAATAATTAACTATTGCATGGAGATCATCAGGGAGGATATCTGAAATGGCGCCATAGTGAGTCCACTATCTCAGAAACTAGGTAGGTAATTCAGATTTGAATTTTTGATCAAATGAGATGAACCAAGAATGACTGAAGGTTTCATTTTGGTACAAGAAAATCTTGAACCAAGCATCAACATAATCATGGTAATTATATTGAATGGGATAACCAGGTAAATCACGAAGCTGGTTAGGATTACCCCATTCAGCCATGGAAACAATGTTGTGAATATAAATTGAATGATATAGGATCTTGTAAGCATAGGTTCGATCCTGGATTGGTTTGATCAAAATTGAATGGTGATGGAGTAGAATGTCTTTGTAATATGAGAGGGTTTTCTCTGGATGTGAAAGGGTGAAATGGCATCCAGGGCCAAAATGGAATTTAGCAATGTCATTGATGGTTTGGTTTTTTGGGTGACTGGGTTCTTTGTAGAACAAGTTAGTAACATGTGAATTGGTGTACTCAGATCGGGATGGTTTAATGGGGTTAACTGGGAATGGAGTAACTGAAACTGAATGGCTGGATGCAAATGGATCGGCAGCCAATGCAGAAGAGTAATCAGGACGATAGATGTTACCAAGAGTTTGGTAACGGTTAACCATTTCAAGTGAATGAGATTGGGTGACTGACTCCAAAGGAGGAGGAACAATAAGTTGATTAGGTTTACTGGAAAATGAGACCAAAGCCTTGGAGGGAGGCCTTGGACGAGACGTCTGTTGAGAAAGAGACAATGGTTAGCAGCCAGAGAGAAGATCTAAATAATCTTGATGGTGATGTAAACAATTGTAGTTGTGAGCAAGTAAATTGCGGCGAGCTTGAATTTGATGGTAAATGATATATTGGGCTCTTTTGATGGTTGGTCTGGCTAATTTGAGGCGGTGAATACGGTAGGTAAGTTGTTTAATTAGGGTGTTGAAATGGGTAATTCGGGATTTATGGTAAGAAGTAAATGGTGCAGTCATCCCTTACCCCCCTGTAAAAATTCCCGGGTAAGAAAATCAGGCAGGGAATTTTGACAACCAGGGATATAGGTAATATCAAAATAAAAAACGCTTAAAATGGATTGCCAACGGGCAAAAATTTGTTTACTAGCAAGATTTTGAACATCTTTTTCCAAAACATATTTAGCAGATTTGCAATCAACACGAAGTAAAAATTTTTGATTTAAAATATCATCTTGAAATTTTTGAATACATAAGACAGTAGATAAAATTTCCTTTTTAATAGTACTATAATTTAATTGTGCTTTATTCCAGATACCAGAATGATAGCGAACAATTTGTTCAGATGATTGAGAAGTGACCTTCTGAAGAAGAATGCCACCATAACCAATATCGGAGGCATCAGTTTGAATAATTTTGAATGAATTCTCAGTGGGGATACCAAGACAAGGAAGAGTTTT